GGACAGCTGTGGTGGCAAATCAAGGTTGATGGAACAAAAAGAAAAGCAAAAAGATTGCAGATCTGACAAAAGGTACAATCTTACAAATTACATCTGATGGATCACCGTTGGAGGCTGGACAAGGTTGATGGAACAAAAAGAAAAGCAAAAAGATTGCAGATCTGACAAAAGGTACAATCTTATCACAATTCCTAACCAAACACAATGAGATCTATTGGATGGGAATCGAAATAATTTTAATTTTCCGCTGTGTATGTATAAGTAGATTCCCAACATAAACTTGGCCTAAATGATCCTTCAACTTCATTAGTGAAAAAAGAAAAAAAAACAGCAATAATAAAAGAAACACACCTAAAAAAAAACACACACACACACAACATTATAAAACTGAAAATAAACATACAAAATAAAATAAAAAGAAAAGGATATCAATCTTTAGAATCATGTATAGCAATGGACTTTTCCAATTTAGAGAAATTCTCAAAAAATGGTTTCAAATCGAGCTTTGGTTCTTGAACACTTGAAATCATATGCGAATTTTTAGAATTATCATTGAATTCAAATTCAAGCGCATCATATGAAGATGTAGCGATAAATTGATCATCAACAAGTTGTTCAATAAGATCTACTTCATGCAAATCATCTTCATCTCCATGTTGCTTGCAAATGTTAAAAACATTCATTTCCACGGTCATATTTCCAAAAGAGAGTTTTAAGATACCATTTCTACAATTTATCAATGCATTTGAAGTAGCAAGAAAGGGATGTCCTAGAATGATAGGTATTTGTGCATTCGAATTTAAAACAGGATGTGTGTCCAAAACTATAAAATCAACAGGAAAATAGAATTTATCAATTTGAACTAGAACATCCTCTACAACCCCTCTTGGAACTTTTACTGAACGATCAGCAAGTTGAAGTGTTGTTGTTGTTGGTTTAAGCTCTCCCAAACCAAGTTGCTCATACACAGAAAAAGGTAATAGGTTAACACTAGCACCAAGATCAAGCAAAGCACGCTCTATCCTGTTATGCCCAATCACACAAGAAATTGTTGGACAACCAGGATCTTTGAATTTAGATGGAGTGTTTTGTTGAACAATCGAGCTCACATTCTCTGTTAAAAATACTTTTTGTTGAACATTAAGTTTCCTCTTGACAGTGCACAAGTCTTTTAAAAATTTTGCACATGAAGGTACTTGTTTGATTGCATCCAATAATTGTATGTTAATTTTGACTTGTTTAAAAAGTTCAAAAATTTCAGAATTGTGGTTGAGTTTTGAAATTGGTTGCAATCGTTGAGGAAATGGAGCTGGAATGGGACATTTTTCAACAATAGGTTCAGAAATGATCTTTTCCTCACTTTTGGAAACGACATTTTCTTGCTTTGAAGTACCACCAAATTTTAGTTCTTTTGAAGGGATGGTTTTGTCAATAATTTTTCCACTACGAAGAGTCGTGATGGAGTTGGCATTTTGTTGTTGACTTTCAGAAGAACTAGAAGCATTTACATTATATTGCTGAGAAGGATTTGGTTGAGGTTGAGCAGGAAATTTGCCTTTCTCTTGAGAATGCAAAGAAGAGGTCAATGAAGAAAGTGTGTTCTTAATTTCATTGATGGCTTGTGAAGTTTGATTATTAATATTTGCTTGTCCTTGCATAAAAGACTGCAATGTTTCCTCAAGAGTCTTTGATTGTGGTGGTGGAAAAGAAGGAAATTTTGAAAGCCCTTGAGGTTGTGATAAATAAACACGATTATCATCTCTCCAACTAAAGTTGGGATGATTTCTCCATTGTTGATTATATGTTTCTGAGTATGGTGAAGAAAAAGGCTTTTTGAAAGTGTTCATAGCATTGGTTTGATCATGTAAAACTTCTTTGAAAACTGGAATGTTAGGACAATCATGCGTAAGATGACCAAAAGTTTCACAAATGCTACAAATTTCATCATTTTGCACGGGTTTAACTTCCTTTACTTTCCTTAATTCCATGGCTTCAACCTTTCTAGACAAACTAGCAATCCTAGCATTTAGATCATCATCTTGACTCAATTGATATTTTCCTCCACTAGAACTAGCAAGACTAGATCTAATTGAGTTTTCGATTGGTTTTACTGTTTGCCAAGATTGAGAATTTTCAGCTAGATGATCTAGAAATTCTAATGCTTCATCTGGATCTTTATCTAAAAATTCACCATTGCACATCGTTTCTACAAATTGTTTTGTTTCAGGAGTTAGGCCCTCATAAAAGAAACTTATAGTACGCCATTTTTCAAAACCATGGTGTGGGCATGTATTTAACAAATCTTTAAATCTTTCTAAACATTGAAAGTACGCTTCATTGGTTTTTTGAGAAAAATTTTGGATTTGTCTTTTCAAAGCATTAGTTTTATGTGCTGGAAAGAATTTCTTCAAAAACTCACTTTGCATTTCTTGCCATGTGCCAATCGACCTAGGTTTTAAAGAGTTAAGCCAAGTTTTTGCTTTATCTTTTAGAGAAAAAGGAAACAATTTCAACTTAACAATTTCATTGGGACAAGTTTGCTCGTTAAATGTGGCACATACTTCCTCAAATTCTTTAAGATGCAAATATGGACTTTTAGATTCTAAGCCATGAAAATTAGGAAGTAATGGAATCATACCCGGCTTGAATCGAAAATTATTAGCATTAAGAGGAAAAATGAAACATGAAGGAGCAAAATTTCGAGAAGGTTGCAAGTAATCACGCATGGTTCGTACTTGTTGGTTTTCATTTTCATCGTGTATGCTTTCATTATCAGCCATGGTGGAAGATGTGAGTGAGTGTTGAGGTGAGTCAAATAAATTACTAAAGAAAGTTTCACAATTATCTTTAACTAAACGATGAGAACTTAATTCACGATACCAATATGACATAAAATAATAAAAAGTAGATGTAACGAACAAAAATTAGGTGGCACAGCCAACCATATAAAAAGAACGAAAATTAGGTGGCACGGCCAACCATATAATAAACAAACGGCAGATCGGGAGGCTCGGCCTTCCCTTTAAGGAAAGAAAATAAACAGAAAATAAAAACGAAGGAGGCTCGACCTTCCTTTAAAGTAAAATAACTAAAGTAATAAGATTGAAAAAGGAACGAGTGTACCTGATTTGTGAAGATTATGAAAGAGAAGAAAACCTCACAGAAAGTGGTAGAAAATAATCCTTAATGCAAATCCCCGGCAACGGCGCCAAAAACTTGCTACAACTTTAAGGTTGCAAACCCAAGTGCAGGTTGTCGCAAGTAGTAAATCTCGGAAGTCCGAGGTCGAACCACAGGGAATTAGAAGGAAATAAACTATTCTATGAGTAATGAACGGTTGATGAAAATACGATGAAGACAAACACAAGAGCATCGGGGATTCACTTCGGATAAATGAGTAGAAATTGCCCTTGATCTTTAATTTAACTCATATGAAAATCAACTAAGGAATGATCTCATATGGAAGATAAAACATTGATCACAAATATATTAAAAGATAGATCTTGATCATTGTTTGAGAGAATATGTCAAAATAAGTTGTTGGAATGTAGAGATTATCTAAGCATTTATTGTGCCAAAATTGTCAACAATAAATCAAAGTCTTTAACAAACCAAAACTATTTGTAGAACATATACTTCAACCAAGTAAGAAGATGAACATTGAAGAACAAAATGAAAGATCAAAGACAACACTAAACATTCATCAAAGTTTCACCCTTAGCTCTAGCTAAATGTTTAGAAATACATAGTGAAATGTTACAAAGAAAATAAAGGAAACTATAATATGATGGAGAGGAATTGATGCTTCAAAATCGTGGCCAAGGTCCCCTTTTATAGGCAAAGGAACATCCAAAATTCAAGTAGGCAATGCAACTTGTTTCTGTCCAGCTTCAAGACAGCTGGAACATGCAACTTGATGCCAATTTTCAGATACCTTGTGCAGCGAATTTGGACTTATAATCAACAGATAAATTATTTCTACTTGAGTTAGCTTTCCATTGGTTCAAATATCAGGTTCATTGGATCTATATAACTCCAGATATGACAAAAACAATAAGTGCTGCTTCACAGGTAAAGCTGTATCCGGCAGGTAACAAGCTGGACTTTGCACGGTTATTTTGGCTGTCTTGTGATACGAATTTGACTTTTTCCAAAACAAGAAATTGTAGAAACGTGCCTTATCTTTCCAACCCAACTTGAATAACCTCGATCCAATGTCTGCAGCTCAAGTTATGATTGTTTTACCGACAGCTGCTTCTTGCTTGAGGCAGTCACTATTTTTGACTTTTCAACATTATTTTCTTCCACTTGCTCCACTTGTAATAAATTGGAAATACATGTGAAATACATCAAATAGATACTCTTTCAAATGTATAATACTCATGCCGCCATGTATGTAAATACGTATTTCAATTAATTGCATTTTTAACCATATATTTATGGAAATTGAATTTACGGCATGAGAATTGGAATTAGAGACTAATATTAGCGTTTTTAAACAAAGTGAATGTAAAATGCCTTGTAAATTATATATCTTTGAAGCACTTTTAGACACTAATCACCCTGGTGCAGTTTTTCTTTGTTAATTTCTCAAGACTCGACCTCGAGCCCATTTTCTCGGGCCTTTTCAAATCAGCCTACGAAATTTCAGCCAAATCCGACATCGTCGCGACAAATGACAAAATTACCCCTGGTGCAATTTTTCTTTGTTAATGTCCTGAGATCTTGGGACTCCGCCCCGAGCCCAATTTCTCAGGCGGTTTCCATTCAGCCTTCCAAATTTCAGCCCATTTCGACACCGTCGCGACAAATGACAAAAATACCCCTTGTGCGGTTTTTCATTGTTAATTTCTCGAGATCTCGGGACTCCGCCCCGAGTCCAATTTCTCGGGCCGTTTCCAATCAGCCAGCAAAACTTCAGCCCATTCCGACACCGTCGCGACAAATGATAAAATTGCCCCAGGTGCAGTTTTTCTTTGTTAATTTCCCGAGATCTCGGGACTTCACCCCGAGTCCAATTTCTCAGGCCGTTTTCAATCAACCTGCCAAATTTCAGCGCATTCCGACTCCGTCGCGACAAATGACCTAATTGTCCTTGGTGCGATTTTTCTTTTTTTTTTGTTCGAGATCTCGGGACTCAGCCACGAGTCCAATTTCTCTGGCCGTTTCATATCATCCTGCCGAATTTCAGCCCATTCCGTCACCATCGCGACAAATGACCAAACTTCCTGTGGTGCGGTTTTTCTTTGTTAATTTCTCAAGATCTCGGGACTTCGCCCCGAGTCCGATTTCTCGGGCCGTTTCCACTCAGCCTGCCAAATTTCAGCCATTTTCGACACCATCGCGACAGATGACAAAAATTACCCTGGTGCGATTTTTTTTGTTAATTTCTCGAGATCTCGGGACTTCGCCCCGAGTCCAATTTCTCGGGCCGTTTCCAATCGGCCAGCAAAATTTTAGCCCATTCCGACACCGTTGCGACAAATGATAAAATTGCCCCAGGTGCTGTTTTTCTTTGTTAATTTCCCGAGATCTCGGGGCTTCACCCCGAGTCCAATTTCTCGGGCCGTTTTCAATCAACCTGCCAAATTTCACCGCATTCCGACACCGTCGTGACAAATGACCTAATTGTCCCTGGTGGGATTTTTCTTTTTTATTTTTCGAGATCTCGGGACTCCACCACGAGTCCAATTTCTCGGGCCGTTTCAAATCATCCTGCCAAATTTCATCCCATTCCTCACCGTCACGACAAATGACCAAATTTCCCATGGTGCGATTTTTCTTTGTTAATTTCCCGAGATCTTGGGATTTTGCCCCATGTCCGATTTCTCGGACCATTTCCAATCAGCCTGCCAAATTTCAGCCCATTCCGACACCATCGCGACAAATGATAAAAATGAACCTGGTGTGATTTTTCTTTGTTAATTTCTCGAGATCTCGGGACTTTGCCCCGAGCCCAATTTCTCGGGCCATTTCCACTGAGTCTGCCAAATTTCAGCCCATTTCGACACCGTCGCGCCAAATGACAAAAATGATCCTGGTGCGGTTTTTCTTTGTTAATTTCTCGAGATCTCGGGACTCTGCCCCGAGACCTATTTTTCGGGCTGTTTTCAATCAGCCTGCCAAATTTCAGCCCATTCCGACACCGTTGTGACAAATGACAAAATTGCCCCTGGTGCGGTTTTACTTCGTTAATTTCTCGAGATCTCGGGACTCCGCTCCAAGTCCAATTTCTCGTGGCATTCCTAATCAACCTGCCAAATTTTAGTCCATTCCGACATCGTCACGACAAATGTCAAAATTTCCTTGGTGCGGTTTTTCTTTGTCAATTTCCCGAGATCTCAGGATTCCGCCCCAAGTCTAATTTCTCAGGCCGTTTTCAATCAGCTTGCCAAATTTCAGCCCATTCTGACACCGTCATGACAAATGACAAAATTGGTCTTGGTGCGATTTTTCTTTGTTAATTTCTCGAGATCTTGGGACTCCGCCCCGAGTCCAATTTCTCGGGCCGTTTCCAATCAACTTGCAAAATTTCAGCCCATTTCGACATTATCACGACAAATGACAAAATTGTCCCTGATACAGTTTTTCTTTGTTAATTTCCCAAGATCTCGGGACTTCGCCCTGATTCCAATTTCTCTGGCCGTTTCCAATCAACTTGCCAACTTTCAACCCATTCTGACACCATTGCGATAAATTACCAAATTGTCCCTGGTGCGATTTTTCTTTGTTAATTTTCTAAGATTCGGGACTCCGCCACGAGTCCAATTTCTCGGGCCGTTTCCAATCTGCCAGCCAAATTTCCGTCCATTTCGACACCGACGTGAAAAATGACAAAATTGTCCCTTGTGCGGATTTTCTTTTATAATTTCTTGGGATCTCGGGACTCCGCCTCGAGCCCAATTTCTCGAGCCGTTTTCAATCAGCCTGCCACATTTTAGCTCAGTCCGACACCTTCGCGACAAATGACAGAATTGCCCCTGGTGCAATTTTTCTTTCTTAATTTCCCGAGATCTCGGGACTCCGCCCCGAGCCCAATTTCTCAGGCTGTTTCCAATCGGTCGGCCAAATTTCAGACCATTCCGACACCGTCGCGACAAATGACAAAATTACCCCTGGTGTAGTTTTTCTTTCTTAATATCTCGAGACTCGACCTTGATCCCATTTTCTTGGGTCTTTCCCAATCAGCTTGCCAAATTTAAGCCAAATCCGACATCTTCGCGACAAATGACAAAATCGCCCCCGGTGCGATTTTTCTTTGTTAATGTCCCGAGATCTCGGGACTCTGCCCCGAGCCCAATTTCTCAGGCGATTTCCAATCAGCCTTCCAAATTTTAACCCATTTCGACACCGACGCGACAAATGACAAAAATGCCCCTGTTGCAATTTTTTTTGTTAATTTCTCAAGATCTCCGGACACCGCCTCGAGCCCAACTTCTCGGGCCGTTTCCAATCGGCCTGCAAAATTTCAGCCCGTTCCGACACCGTCGCAACAAATGACAAAATTGCCCTAGGTATGGTTTTTCTTTGTTAATTTCCCGAGATCTTTGGACTTCACACCGAGTCCAATTTCTCGGGCCGTTTTCAATCAACCTACCAAATTTCAGCGCATTCCGACACCGTCGCGACAAATGACCTAATTGTCCCTGGTGCGATTTTTCTTTTTTATTTTTTTGAGATCACGGGACTCCGCCACGAGTCCAATTTCTCGGGCCGTTTCCAATCGTCTTGCCAAATTTCAGCCCATTCCGTCACCGTCGCGACAAATGACAAAATTTCC